TACTGGGACATTTCCTTGAGTAAAAATGAAGTCATCTGAAACTTTCTGTTGTACACCACACCCACCAAAAGGGTACCCTTTTGGGAGTGGAAACGCAAGCTTGACAAAGGTGACCCGTACCGACCTGTATCGTACTATACCTCTCAGTGGAAACGGGCAATTAGGCAAGCTGTTTCAACCTCCTGCAACAAACTAGATTTTGGCCAGACTTTGTTCCAAATGATGTCAAACTGGTTTGTTTTTCAATAAAAACGTATGTAAAACACACCTTTGGATAGAAGAACACGGTCACAGCCTGCTGCTGCTGCACAGCGTAGAGTAGTTCCCAGATTTCCAGCGTCTCGTACATTGTCACATATCAGAAACAAAGGGACAGACTGAAGACGAGCGTCCTTTGGAAATGTCAGGCGGGAGGCATCAGGCTTTGAGAAAATAGCTGTGAATTTAAGAGAAACAATGATATTTTTTTGTTTTACTGTTTAAAAGAAAACTACATTTCGAAACCAACTCCAGCAACTGACCAATAAGACCCTGAGGAGTGACCAGGTCAGACCACATCTTGATGTCTTCATATTTGACCTTGATGAGCTTGGCTTGCTGTAGTTTGTCTAGAGGAAGCTCCTGCAGTCGCTCCAGCAAACTGAAGAAGATCATCTGAGGAGACGCTCCAGCTGAGAGAGCGTCACAGATCAGACGCCGGCCCTCCAGCAGCACCTTACCCTCCTTATCCCGAAACGCTCTGGAGCGCGCCACGCTGGACACCCTCCTAAGGGGAGAACGGCACATTGATTGTTTTTTTTTTTTTTTTTTTTTTTTACAATGCAAAAAACAAACAATCATGCATTTACTTTAAAGGGGTGATCCACTACTATATCATATTTTAAACTTTAGTTGATGTGTAATGTAGCTGTTTTAACATAAACAACATCTCTGAAGGCAAGACGCCCAAAGTTCAGTGCATAGGGAGACATTATCTTTTACAGAATTAGCTTAGCGAAGCCTGCAGCAAACAAAGTTTGGGGACTACAAAAAAAATACATCCAGGTTAATGATGTCTTAAACCCTTAAGGTTACATACACCCCACGCAGTAAAGAGGAGTGGCCAGAGGCGCTGTAATGTTATAACAGAGACGCTTCTTGATTATGTGGAGCTGATCTGCGAATCACAGCACATTATGTTAGCTGACCAATCAGAGCCTCTTGAGGGCATGTCTTCAGAGGAACTAGGACAGTTTAACAGTCCTTTTCATGTTAGCTGAGTAGCTATATGTAATCCAAGTAAGATATGTGAATAAATAATGTGATTTTCTACAAATGAAGCATGAACACACATTGCTTTGCATGTTATAGACACAACTAAGCCTTAAAAATACACTCTGGACCCCCCCTTTAAACTTTGATAATGCTATTATAATGATTTATATTTGAGAGCTGTCGGGACTACTTTTGTGGGACACATACATGCTTCATTTTTCAGCTACAGATAAATAATCAATAAATGAGTAAACAAATCTTTAAAAATGGCAAACTTTAGTGGCAAATGGTTGTAAAAAACAAAAAACAAAAAAAAACAAGCATGTATTTGTTTTTTTTTTTTCAAAATGCTAAAAGATTTTGTGCAGGACGCAATCAGTGACCCATTTCAGCTTTAAAAGAGACCCATATATGGATGGTGCTCCTCTTACAACATGAATTTTTGTTTGTATTTTATTGAAATTTACTTGGTAACACTTTATTATGATGGTCCCTATTGCACATTTTGTTGACTAAAAGATACATTTAGGAATGGGCCAGTATAAGATTCTGAATTTATGATAACCTTTGATAAAAAGAGTTTAGCGGTATTACGGTACTGTATTTACTTGGGTAAAAAACAACAGGGTTTTCCCATTGAATATAATATGTTTTATTTTAAGAAACATTTAAAATATTGTGGAAGAGTAGCTTTTAATGTGAAGGGTCCTTTTCAGCTGGTGATACTGTTGCCCTAAAAAACTGTGAAAATAAAAACACATAAAAAAAACCTTACATATACTATAGAAACGATATAACAAAAAGTTTTGGTGGTTTTAAAACCTTGACTTTCCAAACCTCAGTAAACCTTGAAAATGGTTATCATTAGCATTGCAACTACATGCCAATTACGTCTCATTTGAGTATTAGTAGACTGTCTGCTTAAGATCTGTTGATTTTGCTCCTTCAATAGACATTTAACTGACTATAAGAAACTTTGAAAGTACATGACAACTTACACTAACCCTAACCCCAACCTAACAGACTACGTACTTATAATCTAATGAGAATTAGTTGGCATGTAGATTAAAAGTAACTTAAATTCAACAAAATGTGTGAAAGGGACCATCAAAATAAAGTGATACCATTAATATTGATAGTAATAACTATATTATATATTACTATATTATATATTATATATTAATATAATTTTTGGTTAAAAATGCTTTTTCAGGTTTTGCCTGTGGAGCAAATGCTCATCTTTTATTGTTTTCTGGTTTTGTGAAAACAATAAACTATGAGCATTTGCTCTGTGTTAACTGTTTTTTATTATATATCCATGTTCGTTTTTTAATGTAAAGTTAATAAATGATTTGGCAATACATGTGTAACTTTTGTCATGCCAATAAATGCAATTATTGTACTGAATTAAGTAAGAGCAGTGCGGTGGCGTAGTGAGTAGCGCCCCACTGCAAAAAAGGTCACTGGTTTGAGCCTCGGCTGGGTGAGTTTGCATGTACTCCCTGTATTTGCGTGGGTTTCCTTAGTTCAATTCAATTCAATTCAATTCAGCTTTATTTGTATAGCGCTTTTACAATGGAGATTGTGTCAAAGCAGCTTCACATAAATGGTCATAGTAACTGGATCAGGGTAGTTTAGTTTTTAGTGTTTAAGTTCAGTTCAGTTTAGCTCAGTTCAGTGTGGTGTGCTTAGTTCAGCTCCGTGTGCTTACAAAATCAATGAAATAATAATGATTATTATTACTACGTATTTTGCCATTTATAACTGTACATTCTGATGAAATTGTGGTGTTTCATAATAACAGTACGTTACTCACGCGAGTCTGTTGTCTCCGGCAGGGGCCTTTTCAAAGCGCAGCCCTGCAAGTTTGAGTTTATTAATCTGAGGAGACTCTTCTGCGCGTTCAGACACATAACCGCTGCAATTTTTGTAAGCAGCTCTCTCTGTGACGTCCTTTCTGGCTTTGCCCTTCTGTGTGAACCCCTGGCTCGTTATATCAGTTACTCTTTTTGATTTTATTAATGTCTCTCGTTCACCATCCGGGTACAATACAGCCACGGTTCTCCGCCGGAGGCCTCGGAGAAATCGCCTGGAATTAACCAAGATCTGGTAACGTTCTCTCTGAAATAAACTACGCTCTCCTAACATCACAAGTCCTCGACTCACGTTGTACATGAGCGCCGCCATCTTTGTTGTCATCTTCCGCGTCACTGTGGGAACGAACGAGCGTACCAATTCGTGAATGAGTTGTTCTTTTGAGTCGATTCTTTGAATCAAATCAGAAGGTTTATGTTCAAACCTGTTCATTCTTAGCACTTTATTGGACTTTGCTATGTAACAACAAAAGAACAGTGGATTTCTTGCATTTTTCTTTATCATCTTTTGCAGAAAAAGTGTAAAATTATTACACTTATTTAGATTTTCTGCTTGTGTCACAAAAAAAAGATAAATTCAATCTATCTATTAAAATTATATTCAAATACATTTCAGTACATTGTAGCATGTTTGAAAAGGTTTAATACAGTTCCTGTGTTCTATTTGGGGTGTATCTGTATTTGCAATGTGGGGTTGTAAGGGGCTTGACTTGGGGAAAAGCGAGTCTGCGCACTCGAGAGGGAGGGAGCGTTTTTCTGATTGTTGGATGAGACAGTTATAATATTGTGTGGGTGAACAGTGTGGGTTTGGGAGTGAACACAAGGATGTCTGAACGTGCAAAAGTTGATTAAAAAGACAAGTTGAACTGTTTCAGTTCGTTACAATATTTTATCATTTTTGTCTGTGATTTGTTAATATTTTTGTGGGTAAATGGTTTATATTTCTTATTAATATTAATACTACTACAACTACTGATAAAAATAATAATTATAAAAAATATATAACTCTAAGCACAACTGGACATAGTTCAATAATTTATGTAATGTTCCTGTTCAGTCTTAAATACATGCTCTTATTTCAGCTTTGAGATTTCATATTCCAAACTTTTTCATACTGCTTCCTGTGGGTACTCGGCACAAGGACTGCTAGTAATTTCTTTTTAGCATAAAAAATGTTAAATATATCTGTTATTGGCTACAGAGTACAATTAAAACGGATTTAAATTATTTAATTATTTTAAAATTATTTAATAAACATATGTAATTATTACTGGATAATGTAATTTATCCTACTTGCTTTAACGAAATAATAATAATAATAACTATAATAATAATAATAATAATAATAATAATGATGATGATGATGATGATGATAATAATAATAATGATAATAATAATAATAATAATAATAATAATAATAATAATAATAATAATAATAATAATAATAAATAATGCCATGTGAAACAATGATATATTCGGAGTGAACATCCTAATTCTTTAAATGTAACATTGTAGAGTATGTGGAAAATGGAAATGGTTTTGTAAATGTGTAAATGTGTTCAAAGCGTAAAAGAAAATTGTGTCTACAACCGAAACAGCTGATGTTGGATCCGACTCTTTGGAACAAACAGGTCAAAGGAACCGATTCAAGTGATCCATCTCTTCATTAAAATGGACTGTACCAAAATAATTTTTGTGTGATAACTTACCAAACTGTTAGTCAAAATCAACATTTTCCAGTCTATGGTCATAATATACTTTAAAATGGATGTTTTAGTTCATTTGCAGTACGTTATATGAAATAAAGCCGTAATATGGCTGCATGATTGTACAGGTAAACATAAAACTAACGAGTCTTTTGGTTCAACGTCTGTGGGCTGTCGATAGCAGAGCAGTCGATGGCTAGTCCTGTGTATCGACACAGTTTGAGGGATCATTGCGTTTACAGTGGGAAACTTCACCAGTGATGGCACTTAGACGAGCATTACATTTCGTTTTTAAAGTTGGAGACAGGACCAAGACAGCCACTTTTTATCGGGATGTCTTGGGAATGAAGGTAAAATCGCTGTCAACGTTAATATCTTGTTTATGTAGAGGGAACTTTGCCTCCTAATATTGTTTATGAGGTATTAACTTTGTTACTTGCCTGTGCAGATTTTGACCCGTCACATTCCACATATTTGTTTAGACTCAAACTTTAGATGTATAAACGTTCATAAATATATATCATTTGTAGATTCTGCGCCATGAAGAATTTGAGGAGGGCTGCAAAGCAACATGTAATGGGTCAGTCATAGTTTATTTAATTTTCATGTGACTAAGTAGCTTAATAAAGAATACAATATCTAATAAATATGGTAAACTAAAAGCATATATTTGTTGTTTTGGTTTCAGTCCATATGATGGAAAATGGAGCAAAACCATGGTGGGCTTTGGACCAGAAGATGACCACTTTGTTGCAGAGTTGACCTATAATTATGGAGTGGGTGAATATCGCCTTGGCAATGATTTCCTGGTAAATTATATTTTTCTATAAAACATTTTGATTTCAAAACCTTGCAAATAGGCGCTTAACATCTAAGATTACTGAACAAAAATGTACTTATATAAAACATTTCGACACATGAAACAATACAGCGAATAGAATTACAATTTTTGTATTTCAAATTGTCAAATTGTGCCATTTATTTAGAATTCTTATTTTTTTAAGTATGTAATAAGGAATATCATACATGTGATGATACATCCATTAAACTGTCATTTAGTGTATTAGTTATTTAATACTGTATTATCTCTTGTCAGATTTACAGGTATTTATTATCATTTGATGACTGCTTAGAAGTACCAAAAATTCTAATTAATTTTCATTGTTATGCTGAATGATGATGATCATTATTTTAGGCAAAATTTAATCATTTGTTTTAACATTTTTATTAGAAAGTAGACACTAAACTTTCACTTAATATGCTTTATATGTATGTAAAATCTAATCCACACATGTCAAAATTAGCATTTTGAAAACAGGACATAATGACAATATAAGTATGAATTCTACCTTAATTCATGGCCACCAATAAAATAACCATACTCTTTGAAGTATTACAGCTTCTGTTTTATTTAAATGTAATTTAGAAACATAAATTATTTGTTCATTTATGGTCATTAAGTTGACAAATTATGATAATCGTGTTATGCAGCACGATCCAAAAAGCAAAAATGCAATACTTTATTATTATTATTATTATTATTATTATTATTATTATTATTATTATTATTATTATTATTATTATTATTATTTATAACAGTATGTCCTTTTTTTGGTGGCCTAGAATTCACTAGCATTCAGACTTTTATTGTAAACTAAATTCTGTTTCATGACATAACTAAAGCTGTGTTTTTCTCTTCACTGTTAGGGTCTCACTCTTCAGTCAGCTCAGGCTGTCAGTAATGCTAAGAGGTTAAACTGGCCTCTTACACAAGTTGGAGATTGTCTCTACATGACTGAGGCTCCAGGTGGATACCGCTTCTACCTCATAGACAAGGAACAGCCAAACTCTGGTGGGTATTTGCCGAAAAAAATGTGTTACACTTGAATAATTGCTATTCATTACAGAAATAAGAACAACTGTGTCATAATAGGGATGTGAGAGCTTCCTTTTATGAAATGTTTATATAAATGAGGTCACAGTGTGCCATTATGAGTCTTCTCTTAACTGATTGCTTCTTTTCCTGGTAATAGATCCCGTCCAGAAAGTCTCTCTGGCAGTGTCTGATCTGCAGCGTTCTGTTCATTATTGGTCTGGCCTGCTGGGAATGAAAGTTATTGAGAAAAATGAGGACAAAAAGATTGCAGTAATGGGATTCTCAGATAATCAGGTTTGGCTGAAAATAATACATTTATTATATTTTTGGCGATAATTGAATTATGAGGACATGCTGCTCACCAGGCCCTCTGAATTTAGATTAGGAGTTTGGGTTTGACTCTTTTAATAAAACTCATATCAGGCCATTTGTGGAAGTTTTTTTTCTATTTTTAAAAGAAGTGTGTTCTGCTCACCAAGGCTACATTTTTTTACTTCGGCCTCCCAATCATCCTTATCCACCTAGTTGGATCTATTACTGTCTCTCCGCTCCACCTATAGCTAGAGTGCGGTAAAGCCTAGTTCACACTAGAGGATTTTAAGCCTGATTTGAGCCTGATTTGGAAGTTAACGAGCTCGCCAACAGATCGGGCTGTGATCGGGAAGAAATCTGCGGGTGCACGGCGCTCGCCGCTCTTTATGTGTGAACTACTGAACAACGCATCAACGAGGCTCGCTAACGCGTCGCCGACACCTCGCAGACGGAAATCCAACATTTAGCATGCTGAATATTCGAGAGCAGTCGGCCAACTCAACCCCACGTGTGGTCCGATGTAGTGACGAGCTGCAGCCAATGAGAGAGCATATCAGCATGAGCTGAATGCCTGTGTGCTCAGGAGCTCAGCAGAAACATCTGTGATTGGTCAGAATGGGCATCAACGCACTTGCTTCATTCTGCGTTAACACAGACATGAGAGTAGGATATATTAACAGTGGAACTAGAATTCTGTAACTATTAGAATTACCATACTGCTCATTCTGACTGTTCTCATATAAAACGCCATATTGTCACAACATATTTACATTCAAAGCTATTATTGAGATATTAAAATTAAGCTTTGAATGTCTGGTATCATATTTAATGACACCATTACCCTAAAAATAGAATATTTTTTTGGTAATACAGCCTATAAATATGTAGTTAAGATACTAAAACACTTAAAGGCTTGGCTTTCATTTTCACTTTCAAACAGGAGCAATTTCACAGCACAGAATATGCTGTTTTGAAAGATATCTGAAGTAAATTGATGTTTTTGCCATCAGAAAGTTTTGTTTATGTTAGCAGGAAGTTGCTAGGCAAGAAAATGCACACATATTTAAAGTCACAGCGAAAAGTATCAGACATCCATGCAGTCATTTTAACCAATATGGTAGTTTAAGGCAGAAATGCTCAGTTCTTTACTGTTTTGTAATAAAAAAAATGACAATGTCAGAAAGAAATACACTGATAGTTAGAAAACGGCAGGGTGTTATAAATATGTAAGTTTTATTTCAAAGAGTTATACAATTACAAAAATTAAAAACTCTCTGTGTATCTATCCACTGGAACCTTGCAGATGAGTGATTAATCCGCTGATGCATCAGCTGATTTGACAATGTTTTTAAATGCTTTCACCAAAGCTTGAAACGCTGTCAGTGATGTCATCAGCACACAAGCAGCCAATAGTGTTCAGCTTTTTCTGACGACTCCTCCCTCAAATTTTCATTGGCTGTGGTTTGGTAGCTTGAATGAGCTGTTGGGGAATGAGTTGTTGTCAGATCATGTAGTGTGTGACCCCCCTCTTGTGGATCATTCACAGAGTGTTGCCTAGTGTGAACACCACAGAGATTAAAAGACACAAAGTCAAGTCATGTAGTGTGAACGGCACAGCGATCTGCTGATGTTTAAAATCCTGTAGTGTGAACTAGGCTTAAGCGCACTGGTGCCGTTGTCCTGTGGAGAGAACCCCCCACCCCACCCATTGCATTTCAATTTATTAATGCAAATAAATGTACTATAGTGAACCCCCAGGGGAATAATTTTACATAAACTATAATTTGTGTAGTTACAAGAGATTTTATTTAAGAAAATTATCTTTTTTCAAAGTTTCTGCTCTTTTAAAAAAAAAATCCTAAAAGTGTTTACAAAGTGATGAATGAAAAAAAAGGATGTAAGCAACAATAACAATTTATCATAATAATAATTTATCATCATTATTATTATTATTAGTGTAAGCTGGAGTTGCAAGACATTGGAGGCGCTGTGGATCATGGAACCGCTTTTGGAAGGATTGCATTCGCTTGTCCTCGGGATCAGGTCAGGTAAAGCTCTGAAAGCCAGTCATTTTTCTTCATTGAAAGAATTTAAATTAAACTGCTTCTTTATAGTTGCCTGACATTGAAGCCCTGATGAAAAAAGACAGTGAGAAAATAATCACCCCTCTTGTGAGTCTGGATACACCTGGAAAAGCCACAGTGGAAGTCGTCATTCTTGGGGATCCTGTGAGTCTCCATTGTCTAAAAACTGTAAGTGTTTGTCAATAGTCTGCTTGACTGACTCTGGTGATTTCCACATAATGCAGGACGGCCATGAGATCTGTTTTGTGGGTGACGAGGCCTTCAGGCAGCTTTCTGCAGTGGATCCTAATGGGAATCAATTACTAGATGAGGTAATCAGTATCTATTTTTTATCACACAGTAAACCATAAATCCACTTTCAAACCTCATTTATGTGTGGTTTCTTTGACAGGCCATCGCTGCGGACAAGAGTGATGAGTGGTTTGCTAAACACAACAAGCAAAAGGCTTCAGCATAAAGACGTGTGCAGTCAGTCACCATTTTGTTGTTATGCATCTCAATGGTTTTCTAATGATTGTCTAAATTCAGCTGTACTTCTGGACTGGATGAAAGTGTGTATATATGAATACCTTTGAATGAAATAAATCATTGTGATTATGTCATTATTCTCTTGAAAGTGTAAATAAATTTGATAAATAAAGAGATTAATTGGTAATGTCAGAAATATTGTGCAGCTATCAAAAAATAAAAAGATTTTGGTGCATACGTGTGAATTTCACTCATTATAATTGCATAGAAGCATCTGTGAAGACAGACGTCTGTATTGTGATGTATTTAAAAGAGTATGTGCTTGCAAAGAAATAGACTGCATAGAAAGTGTCTTGAAATCTGTGGATTGATGGAGGTCAATGGAAATTTTTGAAGAAAATCAGTGTTAAAATAAAATATATGCATAATTTAGCTGCTATTTATTCAGCTGACGTTTAATTCCTGACTTTTTACAACATTTTTGCTATATTAATATAAATCAGTGTTTCTCAACCATGTTCCTCGAGGACCACCAAGACTGCGTGCTTTGGGTATTTTTCAGACTCTTCTAATGAGTTTGGTAACGCTTTGGATAAAAGCGTCTGCTAAATAACTAAATGAGTTGATCTAAATTTTTGGTTAAGGAGATATGCAAAATACGCAGAGCTGGTGGTCCTCCAGCAACGTGGTTGAGAAACTATGTTATTCATTCATTTGTTTTCTTTTTGGCTTAGTCCCGTTATTAATCTGGGGTCGCCACAGTGGAATGAACCACCAATTTATCCAGCACGTTTTTACGCAGCGGATGCCCTTCTAGCGAGAGGGGTCTGGCTGCAGACCTGGTGCAGTGCAATCTGGGCTGCATCCAATGCTTTTTAATGGGCTCACCTAACCCTTCCCGTCACAGTGACGTCACTAGCTCCATTTGAGTGCATTGTGTTTGACATTGCATCGCTGAGTGATGCAGTCTCAGCTTGCATCATAAAGGCTGCATCCAGATACTAATGGTTCTAGCTGCAACCCATCACTGGAAAACACTGTTATATATAAAGATGAATAGCTTTTTTATTGTAACCTTCCAAATTTTTTATAGAATTGCTAAATGTGTTTGTTAAATAGTAATTTTGCGAAGTCTCTGGAGAAATAGGGTGCTTTGAGTCTGTGGTCAGGTGACAACATCTGAGATATAGGTGACAAATCACCTGACTCTATCAAATCATAAAACTAGGTTGCACACTATCATTTATAATAATTATTATACAATACGCCTCTGTAAGAATTGCACAGTTTTTTATACAAAAAATAGAATGTGTAATTAAACCGTTGTAGCTCTAGTTTTTTTTAATGGTAGTTTCTTCTACAGTTTATGGTTTTCTTCTGTAATTAACTTGTGGGGCTTTTATTATGAAGAACTCATCCAACATCCATTTCTTAAAAAAACGTAAAACAGAAGTACTACAAGTGGAAAGTCCATTTCTTGAATAATGAGAGTGAATTGTAGTTGATTAAAATAACAGCGGATGCATTAATAATGGTGTGCGTTTTAGGAAGCAGATGACTGTGATTAGCATGTCGGTTTGTTGACAGAAGTCTGTCATGAAGCTGCTGTTAGCTCAGTTAGCCTAGCATGAGACGGAGGGGCGGCGTAACGTTACACGTAAAAGATCCACCGGACTGCATTACAAACCGTTACAGGTTAGTAAAAGCTGAACATTATTTTCAACACCTTAATTGGGACGTTACATTAACCATGGTGGGAGGCGTGCGGTGTTGTTTTGACAGCTAACAGGCTAATGCTCAGTTGATCAACATTACAAGTTCCACCCAACAGCTGTTTGCAGTGCCAGAGTGGCAAGACACTGAGACCTCTGAGCGGATGATTAGATTGTTTTGAAGATTAATGTTAATATAAAAATGATTGTATCACATTTATTGCACAAAACTGTAAGTTTGGTTTTGTTAAATGCTCATTAATGCAACCTATTCTGGCTATTCACTTCAATGTTTGTAACGATTTTGAAAACCTAGTATTTCAAAACCCATTTTTAGTGTGTGTGTTTATATATGTAATGTGTGTGTATATATATAATAAGGCTAAAGTTGACGTAACAAATAATGTTTTGATATAAGAATAATAGGACAAGAGAACTAGTATGAAACTTGTAGTTGTCACCTTTCTTCGACAGTAGATTAAGAATTACAGACAATATTTGTAATACAATTATTCTGAAATGTATTTAAATATGCAAATGAGTCACTGTTTTCTCATTAATAGCGTAAGGAATTGTGCGCTAATTTGCATATTTTTTAGCACAAAATCAGAACATCAGTTGAGATTTGATAAATGTTGAGATTTATGGCTCAGTGCAGGAGAAAAAAAGGATTTTGAGAAAAAAGCCTTTAAATATAAACATTTAAACAAATACACACACTAAAAGTCTGTGCTATGAAGAAGTTATTAAAAGTGTGTATTGGATATGTTCTTTCCATTAGACTGACATACTTTATGAAACGCCAAAATTGAAAGTTGTATAAAATTTCATCATTTTTTTTACCTGCCGTTTTATTAGTATCTTTAAGTTATTGTCATAATAATCATTTTGTTTGTAATATAGAGAAATTCATACCAGTGACTGTTTGACAGGTGGTCTGAAGTCGGCGATCTCCAGGCCATGATTGTGGGCTAAATGTGAAGAAACATCTGCAGCACAATGTCTGCCCTGCTGATTGCCTGCTCACTTTTTTTCATCCTAGTAGTTCTGCTCATTTTACTCTTTAGGTAAGAAGCCAGCATGCTGGAGCTTTAAGTAAAGAATGATGATGAGTTAAACAAAATGGCTTTCAAATACAAGCACTAAAGCTGTTTGAAATTGTGTTTTATTAGATGGTTTGCCTGCAGTTTGGCTGTCCGCTTTTTCCATAATACCCTGAATGCCGAGCTCAAGATCAAATCTGTGGGTCTTTTCTCAGTGCGAGGAATCAGTCTTCAGTTTCAGCCTCAACACACACTGGTGGGTGAAGTCGCAGTATCCATAAATACTACTTTAGTTTTACTGCAAAGCATTTTTTTTTCATTTCTCTGTAAAGGTTAAAGGGCACTTATGATGAAAATCATCTTTTGTACGCTGTTTAGACAGAACTGTGTGTAGGTATAGCGTGTCCACAGTCATATTGGAGTGATATAAAGACAACAAGTCTCTTGTTTAAAATTTCCTGACATTCAAATAGAACCTAAATCCCTGTGATTTTTTATTTATTTATTTATTTTTTCTACGTCCACCAAATTGATTGACATGTCTCCATAATAACATGTATACACATGTCCACAAAATGTTTTTTGCAAATAAACTTGGATTACAATGTCAGTTTCAACTCTTAGTGATTTTTTTATAAGTTACATAAGTTTAAAACATTTTTAAAACAAAGCGTGCTTGTAATAAATATTTTTAAATAATCGTAAAAGTAACGGCCGCATGGTGTCAGTAAACTCTAATATGTGTGTGTGTGTGTGTGTGTGTGTATTGCAAACAGCATTTGTGTGAGACTCATCATTTCAGAAAGGCTTGAATAAATTATGCCACAAATACATGAAAAAAACTTACTTTGTATTTGCCAATAATGAGCTGTATTTCAGCTTTATCCAAGTATGTCTCTGTCAATGACTGCTGTTTATTAAATAATGCATGATGAGAAGTGGACACACATGTAGGAATGGTGGGCAGGGAGAAGCCGCTCATTTGTATTTAAAGTCACAGGCTACAAATACAGCTATGCTGTATTCAGACACCAAAATGTCTAAATGCCCAATATTTTGAGCTGAAACTATACACATTCTGAAGACACCAAAGGCTTATCTTACATCTTGTAAAATAGGTGCTCTTTAATGTATGGACAGAAAAAAATTGGAAGAAGTATCAAATTGTAAGTATACTACTTTGGTCATTTTTTTAATATCAGGGTTTTATGGCTCCTATAATATAATATAGTGTGAATATAGAAGGTAATGATTTCAAATTTATAATGATGTCGAATTAAAAATTGCAATGTAAATAATTGAGAATAATAATGATTAAGCAAGACTGGATTTTTAGAACAAAACAGCAGATTACTAACAAAAATGTGTTTTGATGTCAGTTCACTGTAAAAATAAAAATAAATGCTGGGTTCCACACAATCCACCCAACACAAATTAATTAAGTTAATTTAATGTTTTTTTTAACAAATTTAAGTGGATTGAACATAAAACAATTAAGCTGTCCCAAAAAACTCAAGAATTGTGTTGTTTGAGCTCATTTTAAGTTAGAACAAGCTAAGAGAGTGCTGTTACTATTATTATTATTATTATATTGGAATATACGTAATGACATTATATTGAAATGTTTAGTTTTATGATCTGCACTCAGTATTTTTATTTTTTTTGTGGGGTGCTAAACATATAATCCAATACCTTGATGATTTAGAGAAGTATTTCATTTGTTTTTAAATGTATGTTCCTCAAAAGCCTGACACATGCATACTGAAGTGAGAACTTGAACCAAAATATTTTCAATACAAATAAGCTTACTTTTACACCCCTTAATAGTAAACCTGTTTTTTCAGTATGTCCATCCTAAATAAGCCAATGTACAGTAACTCATAAAATGAAAGTTCATATATTTACTCAGTAATCAATACATTTTCCACAACTTTGATGTACTTTTTTCCTCATTTACAGCTGAAGCTTGTGCACTGCTTTTAGCTTAGCAACAAACAGAATTCTATATCCTGCTTACAAGCACTTGAATCTATGAAAACCGTTCATTCAATAATTTTTAGCATAATAGAAAAACATTTTAATGGACATTTTGAAAGGAAAATGACTTTTTGCTAAACACCTGTTCATATGGGATTCATTGGAAACAAGCGTGCTGATAAAACAGCTAAGGAAGCCCTACAGTTGGAGATAACAGAATGTAAAATTCCTGTGTCTGACCTTTTTTAAATCAGTATATTAATGTGAAATGGCAAATGGAATGAATGTAGAAACAACAAATTGTATGAAGTAAATCGATTTGTAATTTAAAGAAATAATTACCATTTTTAAAGTAGACATGACCATGCGAGATGCAGAATCAGACACTCAAGACTCACACACTCATGTTCATTGAAAGGGGAAGAAAAACTGTGACTTGTTTAAGAATATTTTGACGATAAAAACATATTTTAACAGAATT